TCTGCCCCTGGGCTCTGCCTCTGCCTGTGAGTATGGATCCAGGCTTGGGAGCAAGGGGCCCAGGCAGGCCCAGGTGTCAGCCCCGTCCACCGCCTCCCTGTGCCTTCACAGCCCCTGGCCTCTCCCCCTCTCCCGGGGCCGGCGCGAGCAGGGGTGTGTGGGCGGCAGCCTCTGCACTGTGGCCCCTTCCTCTCCCTCCCTTCTCTCCCCAGCACCTCCCTGCTCCCTCCAAGGGCCAAGGTGGCCAGTGGCCTCCCGGGAGGGAGGAGGGGGAGGTGGCTTCTCCAGCCAGGAGCTCCAGCCATGGCTGAACTGCTGTGTAGCTCCCCGGGGGGGGGGGGGGTTCTCCACCCCATGGCCTCAGGGAACCCTGCTCCTCTAGTGCCCCAGGGGACCAAGGCCTTAAGTCCCTCGTTCTTGGGGTCCCTCACCCCAGGCCTCCTAGGCCAGTGATGGGGTTACTTCCCCATCCCTATGGCACCCGACCTCTGCTACTGGCTCTAAGGCTGGGTCACTGGGGTCCCCTCCCTGCTGCCTGTGTCCAGGCTCGGGGTCAGCACTGTAGTGACGGGGAAGGCCACCAGGTGGCAGTGCAGCCTCTGCTCAGGCCCAACCGCATGGGAGGGGTGCAGGGTGTAGGGGTCGCTGGCAACATCCCAGACTGGGGGACAGCCTAGGGCAGCAGTTATCAACCTGTGGGTCGTGACCCCCCTGGGGTCGAACGACCCTTTCACAGGAGTCGCCTAAGACCATTGGAAAACATATAATTACATATTGTTTTTGTGATGAATCACTATGCTTTAGTTATGTCCAATTTGTAACAATGAAAATACATCCTGCATATCAGATATTTACATGACGATTCATCACAGTAGCAAAATTACAGTGATGAAGGAGCCATGAAAGTAACTTTATGGTGGGGTCACAACACGAGGTCGCAGCATCAGGAAGGTTGAGAACCACGGGCGTAGGGGCTCCGGACGATGCTGCCTCCACCCCACCTGCCCTGGCGTCCCAGGAGCCCACGCCCCTCCACAGCGCGCCTCCTGATTGGGGACATCTCCTCACGCCCCACACGTGTGGCCCAGCAGCTCGGGCGGGAGTGGGGCCCCAGCCGGCCGGGCAGGGAGACCCCATGCGGGCTCGGCTTTTCTTGGTCTTGACCGTTCCCCCCAGCGCCTGAGCCCCTCGTTCTGAGCCGGGGGGCTCCTGCCCTTTGTCCCGATGTGGGACCTGCCGGGCCGGGTGGCGTGGGCCGGGCCGCACCTGGGACTGATTTCACGAAGCCCTTTTTCTGAAAGCGCTGGCTCCCCGCATACTTGCTGCGGAGGGGGGGACACTTACAGCGGCAATTATTTCCTCACCGTCTGGTGAGCAAGCAAAGTGGGGGCTCAGCCAAGCTCCGCGCCGCGGAGGCCCCCAGCCCTGCGACCCAGGAGCGCGGGCCCCGTCCCACCACCCGCCAGGGCTCACGCAGGAAAATCCACATGTTGGTACTGAAGCCGGCCCCCGCCCATCCCCGTGGGAGTAACGGCTCCGAAATACATGACCCGCCTGGAGGAAGCGAACAACTGGCCTGCGAGAAGGCTTGGCTCCGAGGGTCGGTGTCGGCCTGCCCCGGCCCCCACGCCCAGGGCTTCTAAGCTCACGGTCCGGGATCTGCTGCTCCGCCCTGATCACCTCTCCTCTTCCCTGGGCGGTGGGGCCGCGGCCACACCCCTCCACACCCCTCCACACCCGGCCTCCAGGAATGGGACCGCTGGCCGGAGCAGA